GGTAATTCCCCCTTTATACTAACAGGTGTTGAAAATGTGACCTCACCATTTTGTTTCTTAGTGAACAAGGTACAGTTGTGGTATTTCAATATGAATTGGATCTTTAAGCCTTTGGTCATAGAGGGATTTTTTGTTTGTTTTTATTTTAAGGATAAACCTGAAAGAAGCGACAGATGAAACCACAGGAAGGGTTCCAGCCTATGAGACAATTTTCCTCCAGACCAAGACTCTGTTATTTAAAAGAAGAAAGGTTGGAGAAAGAGAATGCTGCCACAACCTACCTAGCAGATTGCTAGGAACCAGAGCAAGAATTAGACACAGGGAAGGAGAGAAGCTGGGTGGATCAGAGGGAGACGTTCAGGAATCACTCTGGTGAAGTTGTTATAAATATTCTCAGTGATTAAAACTGGCTGAGTGAAGTTGCAGTTGAGAGGTAGTGTTCATAGTGAAAAGAGTCCTGGCCTTGGAGGCAGGGGAGATCAGGGTTCAAATCCTGGCTCCCACACTTAGTACCTATGTGATCATGAGTAAATCACTTAATCTCTTTGAACCTCAGTTTCCTTATCTGTAAAATGAGGGTAGAAATGCCTATAATAGCTGTCTTTCCAGGTTGTAGTGAGGATTTGATCACATATGAAAAATACTTTGTAAATCTTAAATTCGTATATATATATATATATATATATATCAGCTATTACATATGATTACTATCATTGCAGAGTGGCTCCATAATATCTAGAAACTTTTTATGGTCTTGAATATCTCCAATCAACTGAGAAAGTAGCTGTTATTAGAGGTATGGGGGATTATAGAAGTGATTCCTTTAGCCACTGATGCACTGGGTATATCTGTACCATTTGTAAATGGGGATAACTCCCCCACACCAAATACATTGTTCTCTGAAAGAGAGAGTTGAGGCATTGCCCCAGCTGCTTATGCTAAACATGAGGAACCCCACCAGCTTGCTGTCAGAAAGGAGCCTTTAGTGGTCACAAGGAAAAGGTGTGTCTTTCATGTTCTTTGGCTGAAAAGTGAATCCAAGTGGATAATATCAGAAGGCAGTGATTTCTGGTACTTGTTGCCTTTGCCCTGGGCCTTCATACTAGGGTATGGCAATTAGGTGGCCTAGTACTTGGTGGATACAGTGCTAGACTTGGAGGCAGGAAACCTGAGTTAAAATCCTATCTCTTATAGTTATTAGCAATGTGATTCTGAAAAAGTCACAACCTCTCAGCCTCAGTTTCCTCATTTGTAAAATTGGGATTATAATAGCAGCTACTTCCCAGGAGTGTTGCAAGGACTGAATGAAATGAAATATGGAAGGCATTTTATAAGCCTTAAAATGCTGTATAAACAATATTGATTCACTTATTATTATTATTATTGTTATTACTATTATTATTACTATTACTATTATTACTATTAGTGCCCTGAACTGGGTCCTTTTCCTGGTCTTGAGTTCCACTCTATTAATTACTTAGAGCCATTCCTTTAATGTTTTCCTGTGACACCATGAGAATTTAGCTGAAAAATCACCAAGCTTATTAGGGAAGGTCATTGTTATTGTTTGTCCATCATTCTCAAAGAGGACCATGACATCAGGGAGGTGATGCCCTGACACTCAAATGAATTGGATTTAAGTGAAGGAGGGCTGTGCACAGTCACCAGCCTCACTTTCTCCTCCAAAGCCATCTGGCTCCAGTAGCAAGATATAGATCAGGATGACAAGATGGCCCTCGATACAGTGGGAGACCTTGGCCTTTTTAAGCTAAGGTCTTAAACATATTTCAGTTTGACTGAGGCAGTGCCCATTCAGTGATTAAGGCTAGGTAAGAAATAAGGCAGAGAATGGCTTTTTATATAAAGAAAGTTAGAAGTCAGAAGGAAGTCCTGTGATAGGATGAATTCAAAGAATGGCAGAGGTTACTCTGGGCCTGTTTATTCTGGGCCACCTCCTTCTCTCCCAAACTCAAGGGACATTTGCCAAAGGGCTGATGGGGGCACCTGAATGGATTGTACTTTTGGTGCAGCTGGGTGTGGAGTAAGGAATGAAGCCTTGAAGCCCTTGTTTCTGGAAATTGCCTGATGATCTAGTTCTATTATTTGTTTTTCCACGAAAAAGGTCCTTGTCCCTAGGGGAGTAGGAGGAAAGATCCTGCCCATTCTAGGGAGGGCACATATTTGAGTGACTCCAATAGGAATGTGGAAGAGGAGGAGTGTCTAGCCACTCTATATCTGCCATACTAGTTCTTAGTCACTATGAAATAAATACCGATCACTAGAGTGAAGTTGACTGGTGGGCTCCCCTTTTTCAAGAGGTACTTCCTGCTTTCTCATGACTGTTATAAAAGCTAAACCCCCTCTGGATTAAGCTTCTAAGTTTTCCTAAAACTTTGGGACTGGCCCTTCTTTGCCCTGAGCCCTGCCCCTACCACCCTCAGGCAGGAGTTCAGCAGTTTAGGAAAATGCATCCAATCCTGTAGTTTTAAAACATTTTTTCCTGACCTTGGATATACCCAGAGTCTCCTAGTTGGTGTCTGACCTCAGCTTTGCAAGCGTATTTGCAATCCTCAGCTCAGTCACACCTGCTGCCCCAATGTTGACCTAACAGGGCCTAGGTTAAGAGTAAGAAGTCCTGGTCCCCAAGGAAGGAATGGAGCAGAGTATTTTGGGTCATCCCTACCAGAAGCTAGGTGGTATTTTGGGAAATGTCAGTGTCTGATTTACTAATGTAATTTGGTTTCTTCTTATTCTCCTTTCCTTGATTAAAGAGTCTATGAGGGGATTGAGACACAAAACTGTGCACTGAAAAGAGGTAAATGAAAGAAAAATTGTAGTTATTGCCTGCCACCTTCCCCACAGTGATGGTGAAGTGGTAGCCATACTTATCACTCACAAAGGCCAACAGGTATTTGAGAAGGGAAGGTGGCATGAGGGAGAGCAGCAAGAAAAGATGAGAAAGAGAAAGGAGAGAGAGAGAGAGAGACAGAGAGAGACAGAGAGAGACAGAGAGAGAGAGAGAGAGAGAGAGAGAGAGAGAGAGAGAGAGAGAGAAGGCGGAAAGCTTACACAAATACTCAGCACTCAGAACTGATCAACCCAACACAAAAGGAGTTAGTGCTTCCTGAGTGAAAAGGCAGGCAAATACCACTGATGTCTACATGGGTTGCTAAGAGACATCATCAATTAAGAGGAGGAGGGGGTGGGGAAGTAAAGCCTGGGACCAAAGAGAGCGCTATTACTTTATATCCCAAGAATGTAACAATGTTATTTGGAGATGGAGAGGGAGGGAAATGGGGAAAGAAAGTTTTGTTTTTGCTCCCTCTGCTCAGTCTGTATTGTACGGGATCTGTCTGCCATGCGTCTTCAGACACGGCAGTGGCAGGGACCAGGACATTCCATTCCTACACTCCAGCACACAGGATTTCATGTACAAAACAAACCTCCCAATTTAGACACAAGCTCATGTGCTATGCCTATTGCCCATCTGCTCAGACCAATTTCCCTGAGCTCTGATCTGATAACATATCCATCTACGGCCACCACCATGGTCCCCTCACCCTTCCCTTTGGTTCTAGAACTTCCCCAGAGAGCTTAACTTTTCTCTCAATTATCCAAGGATCAAAGATTCAGCTTGTCTATCTTTGCTTCTATTGCTCAAGATTGTTATTCACTCTTTGGATTATTTCTTTGCCCCTGTATCACCTCTAAAGAGCTATTGGCTTCAGGAAGGGAAAAGAGATGCCATGTAAATCAGAGTACTGGTCCTCTTAGCAGATGTTTCTGTAAAATAGTTGGGCTAAAGTGAATCTGTGGAAGATTTTGCTTATCTACAGGCTCTTTCCCTCTGTCTGCCTCAGTTTCTTGGTTTAAGTATCTGTCATGTCTGGGGGACACAAAGTAAAAAATGATACAGTCTCTAATCTGAAGGAATTTACGTTTGGGGGTTGGTGGAAATGTGTATACAAATTTAAGCACAAAATATGTACCAAATAAATAAAAAGTAATTAAGAAGAAGGAGGGGAACAAGCCTTTATTAAGTACCTACTATGTGCCAGGCACTGTGCTAACAGCTTTATAAATATTATCTCACTTGATCCTCACAACAACCCAAGGAGGTAAGTGCTGTTATTATCCTTATTTTACAGTTGAGGAAACTCAGGCAGACAGAGGTTAAGTGACTTGCTCAGGGTCACATAGCTGAGATCTTTTGGTCTCCAGGCTCAATACTCAACTGAATGTACCACCTAGCTGCTTTTACTAGGGGAAGAACACTAGTAACTTACTAGTTATGAGATCTAGCTAGGCTCCTGTAGGTATTACCTGAGCTGAGCTGCAAAGGAAGGGAACTTTCTGCAAGCTGGAAGTGAGATGGGACTGTCTTCCAGGCATAGGGTACATACAGCCTGTGCAAAAGGATGGAGATGGGAGCTGGTAGGTCATGAACGGGGAATGGCAATTAGGCCAGTTTGGCTGAAATGTAAAGGGAGCAAAGGAGAATAGCATGCAATAAGCCTGAAGAAGGTAAGTCAAAGCCAAATTGCATTTGGTTTCCAAAACCAAATAGAAGAGTTTTGATTCTAGAGACAAGTGGGAGCACTGGTGCTTGTTGAGCTAGGGAGTAGTATGGCTAGACTTATTTTTAAAGACCAGATTTCATTGACAGAGAGGCGGTGCAGTATAGTAGAGATGACCTCAGAGTTAAGAAAATCTGGGTTCAAGTCCTATCTTTGACAGAAACTGACCATATGACCCTGGGCAAGTCACTAAATTTGGATGGTGCAGTGAACCTGCCTCAGACACTTACTAGCTGTGTGACCTATGTAGATATGTAATTTGGCACTTACAGGTTACTGCCTTACATATTTATTTGTCCTTTTATATGTAAATGCTTTGCTTCTTCAACTACCTTGTATGATTTCTATGAAAAGGGGCCTGGTCTTAGCTTTTTTTTTTTTTTTGGTTGTTGTTGTTGTTTCCTCAGAGCACCTAGGACAGTTCCCTGAATATAATAGGAGATGCACAAAAGTTTGATTAGACAAAAAACTGCTGTGGTAGCAGTCATTTAATAGTGGGCTAACAATTGGTATCAAGGGACTTCAACTTGTGGGAGATCCGAGGGGAAGTTAGAGCTGTAATGGCAGCAAGGGTGGTCATAGTGGGGGTTTGGAGGAGAGGGGCAGTGTTGAAGCCTCAATGAAATTCTCTCATCACCACTGATGCTTCCTTCTCCCCTTCCAGGCTGGCACTGAATGTGTCTTTAAGGAAACTCAGCAGAGAGTCACAAGTAGCAGAATCACCATCATTAAACTAATCCTGCCACACTTTCAGTTTAAAAGGTAAGGACCAGAATGGATACTGATGTTCTGAAAACATCCAATATAGTTCAGTCAGGGGAAGCTATCAAACTTAAGGTTTTTAGGAACCTGGAAGGACTACTCAGTGCCACCAGGATTTCCTTTTTGCAAGTGGAGAAATAGACATTAACAAGCACCATGGGGTGAAGAATTTGTGTGTGTGTGTGTGTGTGTGTGTGTGTGTGTGTCTGTGTGTCTGTGTCTGTGTGTGTGTGTGTGTCTGTGTGTGCATGCATGTAGTATTTTCTAGCCTGGATTTTTATAAATTCCAAACAAGCCACTACTCCCAGCCAAAAAAATAATAAAGGAAAGAAAATTGTGTTTAGGCTCGAGTATGGGAGGGAAAGGGGAAATTTCAGTGCTAGAGGTGGAGGAGATAATCTTGGTGTGTGGTTGCACATCACCATCCCTAGGCTGGGTAGAATTTTTTAACCTCAATCTTCTCCTTCATTTAAATTCAATAAACATTTTTGAGTACCTACTATGTGTTGCCCACTGTGCTAGGCACTGGATCTGTGATTTCATTGGTATAAAGAAGTCTGAAATGAGGAACCCCCCTCAACCAGTGTAGATCAATACCTTCTCTGCTACTTAGAATATTAGGGAGTTATCTGGAACACTGAGGGGTTAAGTGACTTGCCAAGGATCACATAGACAAATTATTTAAGGGTAGGATTTGAACCCAAGTCTTTTTGGCTCCAAGGCTATATCTTTATCCACCATGTTAAGTTGCCTCTTGGGAAAAAGACTTGTACACAAATGCATATACACAGGTAGGAGGAAGGTGGATGCTAATAATGGGGGGGTGATGGAGATAAAGAAAACTTCCTTTAGGGTTTGGCATGTAAGCTCCAATAGGAAGAGTTTTAGGGTCAAGGTGAGTGTGCTAGTTTTGTTTGATCACCTTTTACTCCTATCTAGAATTCCAGGTTAGGAAGCTTCTTTCCTTCCATGGATTGCCTCTGAAGTCAAGGAGTAGCTGATCTTGGACTGAGTCACAGAATTCCTCCAGCCAGGTTTTATGGAATGTGAACTTGCTTCTGTCTCTCAGGTGGGCTAACTAAAGGAAATTTCCAGGTTGTACCAAAATTCTAATGGAAATGGGCCTGGGATTCCTGCCCTGTGTAGGAACCAGTTTCAACCTCATCTCAACTCAATGCTTGTTAAAGCCCCATTCATCTCTTTCTAAGTTTTGCCTCATAGCACGATTAGGTAGCCCCCTCATTAGTCCCAAAGACATGTCCAAGCCCTACCCACCGGTGTTTTAGGAACAGACAAATGATTGAACCATAATGTCTCCAGCTAATCTCAAGCAAGTCTTCAAGCTGGGTTTTTGCTAAGATGACTGTCATGCCACATCCATACAAACCAAACCCTTTCTCCCCCACCCCCATCCAGCAGTCTACTTACATCTGGATAATAATCCACGGTGGGGACCAGGTGCTCAATCAAGGCTTCTAAGGATCCAGAGATAAGATTCCCATCCTGGAAAACGAGGTCTCCACCACTCCGCTCTCCCATGTCTGGTTGCACCTGTCCACTACAACTAGACCCAAGCATACTGGAGAAGATTGGTGTCTGGGGCATAGTTTCCTAGGTGGGGGGAAAAGAGGCCATAAGACATCTCAAAGACTCTCTTTATGTGATCTTCCTCCTCCTCAGGTTGGCTGGCTGTGGCCATTGTACAGAAGCTACATATTTGAGTGATCTCAGAAGGGCTCGAGGAGGGAAGAAAGTATCCAGCCACCACCCACCTACAAGATGCCTTTGTGGCTCAAGTGAAATGCCAGTTCTTGGGTGGACTGCTGGGCTCTCCTTTCCTTATTTCTCATATTAAACAAGCAGCAAATTTCTTACCTCCCTGGGATTGTTTTAAAGCTAAAAAAACACTCCCCAGTCTGGGACTTTAGCTCATCTGAAATTTGCAGATTGACCATGCGAGTAACTCTGTGGGCAAGATCGCTGGCCTCTGCTGTTTATTGTGCAAGTGATAAACTGCCAGTCTTTGAGCACAAGACCAGATGTAGACAGAATGTGCCCCTGTCTGAGGGGAGGGCTGGTCCCCAGGGGAGGGGATGGGTCAAGTTCATATCTGTGGTTTGTTTCCCTCTGAAAACCCCTACAGAAAAAAAAAAACATAGGAAAGCATTCTTTGGTGGTATTTTCTTGGAAAGTGACTACTGCATTTGCTATTATGAGGAACCACTATGTGGACCCTGCTTGTCTTCTGCCGGGGAACTCCTGGCAGGCCAGTGTAGTCAGAGTTCCTACTCAAACAGGCAACAGAAGGCCAAGGTTTGAGGTGGACCATCACATAATTTCAAAGTTGAAAGGGGTCTCTGAGGTCATCTAGTCCAAGAAGAATCCCCTTTATGTTATTTATGACAAGTGGTCATTTGGCCTTTGCTAAAACACCCCTGCTCAGAAAGTGGCAGCTGATTCTACCTTTTGTCATTAAAGGAAGATTCTTTACATTGAATTGAAATTTACCTTCAGCTTCCACAGAAACACAGAGAAGAGAAGACGGTAGGCTTAAAGTCACATAATAGGCTGGATGAGAGTGGTGATTGAAACTTGGGCATTTCATAGGCACGTGCCCAGCCCACGTCTCCAATCTTGCCTCTGTATGTGAGCATAGATATAGCATTCTAAATATGGCATTTATGGAATAGACAATAGACCTGTTCACTACCACTCTCTGCCTCCTTAGCTCCCTTTTCCAGTATGTGAGGATGCCCGCCATCCTTGTTCTGCCCTCCCTATTCTTTTCTCCCCACTTCTCAAAGGAAATGTTGGGAGGTACTTTTTTCAAGTGAAAGGGGCAACCAGTCTGGCCAAGTTGAGATGTTTACAGTCCCATGGTGAGTTGTCATTCCAGCTTTGCTTGCCCTCATGGGCTCCTCTCCAGCTAAGACTCCAGTTTACGTAAAGAGCAAAAACTGAAAGCAAAGTGTGCTATAAATTTCACTGACACCATGGACTAGGTTGGGATTTCAATAATATACTTGGCTCCATTTTCCTTCAAAGCCTCTATCTCTCCTTTCCCCACTCCTCTCTTGGCTGTGTTATTTCCTTGCCTCAGTCTATGAAGTTCACCATCAAGGAGATTTTGGATACTGTTGGATTAGATGAATAGATCCACCTTGCAGTATGGCAGAATAACTTATTACATATTTGAAGAGCCCACAGTCTCATCTCTTCCTTTAAGCTGTTCTATGAGAATATGAATTTCTACTTTATCCCCTGTGATTTCTTTTAATGGAGTTCAGTACTTGAACCCAAACAATAAAAACAGAAACTCATATGCCTAACTGAAGTGTTGTTTCCTTAAAATCCTTAAGAAAAAAATACATTCAGGGAATGACAGGGCACAGGAAATTGGGAGAACTGAGTAGCAAGCTTTCTTTTTGATCTTCTTTGGGATCTTAATGTGTCTGTGCCATATTATTTTTCCATCATCCTATGGAGGGAGACTAAAATACTTTTTCCCAGTGCCTTGGGAGAATAGTCAGTCAACAAGCATTTATTAAACACTTAATATATGCCAGCCATAGGGCCAAGCTCAAGAGGAAGACAAAGAAGCAAAGACAAAATCTGAACAACCCTTTGCCCTCAAGGAGATTATATTCTAATGAGAAAGCCAACAGGCATATTTACAGGTCCGTACTAAATAAATACAAAGCAAATACCGTGACATCTTAGAAGAAAGCACTTCCTGGTAGCAAGCAGGATGGATAGGAGTTCCTCAAAGTAAGAGAGTGGGCAATTGAGGGACAATTGAGTTCATTCAAGCTATAGAGAACAAAGTTAGCAAAGACATGAACTCAGGAAAGTAGGGGATGTATCCAGGAGTTAGCATATAATCCAGTTTGGCAGAGTTTGGGGTTATTATAAGTAATACAGACACTGCCCACCTCTTGGTGGGCTGTTGTCTGGTTACCTGAAAGACTTCTCTAAACATCAGGCAGATAAACAATAAGGATCGGTTAATTTCTCAAGATGGGGAATTCCTGGTGTGCAAACTCCCTCCACCCATCCAGGAATGGGTTATCTCCAGAGTAGAAAACACCTATGCACCCCAGACAATTCCATTGGAGTGATTTGCCCGTAAAACAGAATCACAAAGTAAAAGACTACACCTTAGATGTCACTGTGCAAGACAAATGGTAGGTACTTAATAAATAATTGTGGAATTAAATAAGTGCCTGATAATGTCTAAAAGGCCTTTAGCCTGGGTAGGATTCTCTTTTGTGGATGTAACTCTTCACCTCCATTGATAGTAAATGTTGGACTCGGCAAAGCTTGCAAACTATGGCGTGTCAGTTGTGAATTAAGTGCTTAAATCTGTAATATGATTGTAAATGCTGGGAAACAACATTAAATACTACTACTGCTACTACAACAAACAACCACCACCTCCACAGACCAGGCACAGGGAACTACCAGTCACCATCAGGATCTGAATCTGAGCCCTCTGCTATCCCTCTCTCTGACCCTAGAAAAACAATGAAAGTGCTAAAAGCTATAAACATTCTCCTTGGTTATCAGAAAAAATGGGTGAGTAATCTCTCTGCCCACACTTATTACTACTCCAATCCCAGTTCTACCTGCTTCAGGGGTTACGGACTCAGAGAAGGCAGGCACTGGTTGATAGTGGGAGCAGTGTGTGTATCCTCACCCCTGGCCCAAGAAAGAGCCCCGAAGAAGTGAAAGAGAAAGGAATTTCTAGATTTCCTTTTTCTGTGGGCTGGAGAGGGCCAGCACTCCTTTTTAAGACTTCCCAAGTGTGGTCTTGGGTTGGTCAAAAAGGTAAGGAAGTCACTCAAAAATATATGTGTGGGGTTTTTTAAAGTCTAAGGAGCATACTGGAAGGTTTGAAAGTTACCTTCTGAGCCCACCCACATGTAGAAAGTTGAGAATACTGTTGTTTCACTGTGACTTTCTGGTCAGTTTACCAACATTAGCCTAGTTGTGTTCTGATCAAGAAAACTCAGATTTAAGGGGCATACCTACATAAGTATAAGGAGTCTATGTCAAGGCCATAAAATACAAATCAGAGGATTCTTTCATCTACTCCCCTAAACACCTACCTTAACAGCTTCATGGGAGTTAGGGGTGGGAAAAGAAGAACAAATATCTTCCGATCTCCTGGCATCTAGACCTTCCCCAAAGCAAAGAGATGGTCTTACATGGGGCGTGGGTGCAGGTGAGCCTGAGTAGATGTTTCAGCTATTTGTCACAATGCAGGACAGTCAGGTACTAATATTTTCACCTCCAGAGAACTTCCATCTCACTCAGGCTGCCCAGATGACCAAATAGGCTTTTGTAATCAAATAAAAATGCATGGAATGTGACAAATGCCACATAATGTTATGGAATGTGAGGAGGAAATATAAGGAAAAAGCAAAATACTTCCTTGTTGCATTGACACAGGTGTGTCTGTCTCCAGGAACCATGAGGGCACGTGTGGCATTAGGTCCTCTCTGGAAGGACAGGAGATCTAGACACACACTCCTTGACTCTTCTTAGGTAATTGGGCAGTAATTAGGGTTTGCACAATCATCAATCCAACCCACCACCACATTTTGGGCTAACTATATGCTTCACGATCAACTGGGACAGGAAATGAATGAGTGCCTATGGTGTAGTCAAGGAGAATGAAGTCCAATACAAGGCTATCCAGGTATTACTGAGTAATAACCCAGCTTCCTGGAAATTATAAGCAGAACGTCCTAGGCTGCTTGCTTAGGTTGGAATCTGGAAGGAGGAGCAATAAGGTGGAGGGTAGGGGGAAATGGAAGAGTTCATGCCCATCTCTTGATCCTGGAGCTGGGGGGGAGGGGGAAGGGCACTCAACTGGGAGTTAGAAGCCCCTAGGGCTTATTGAGCACGGGGCTTCTCAGGGAAAACGCAACACACAAATAACACTGTCAACATACTAATGTGACTCTGGTGACTGTATTCTTGGAAGCAAACAAACAAAAACTCTTCTTTCCCAGCCCAGAGAATACTGCATCTGTTACTATAAACGGTGGCTTTCTAGGGCATACACTGCCTGCTTCATCACTCCGTCCCCTTTCCTATTTAACTCCTTGGTCACGGGTACATTTTTCCTACCCAAAACAACCCACTGTGAAGGATCCCTTCCTGGGTGCACCGAAGAAGGCAAACACATAGTCAACCTGTTTTTGGCCAGTTACCTTTTACTGTGTACACTTTCATCTGCTCCATCTCCAAGTAAAGAGACTCGTAAATTAATACACTTAAATTTAACCAGATCTGCCCAAGACTGGGGCTTCTTAACCTTTTTTTTTTTTTGTATCATATCCTCCTTTAGCTATCTATGAATCCCTAGCCAAGGAATCCCTTCTCAGAATAGTATTTTAACACACAAAATAAAATACACAGGATCGCAAAGGAAAGCAACTACATTGAAATATGATTATCAATTTTTTTCATTTACTGAGCCTAATAACTCCTGTCTTAGATTGAACAATCTCCCTCTGTCCCAAAGACACTGAAGGGAACAAGATTCTCTGCTCTATCCCTACCAACTTCAGATTCACCCTAATCCTGCTCAGAACGACTGCCCTGGCTGACCTCCAGAGCTCTGCGCAGCCAAACAGGTCACTCTGACCAGGACATAAAAGTTCTGTCCCCTTGTGACACCCTTCCACGATCCAGGCAGATTCCCCTGGACCGAGGGCAGCAGACTCCAATGGATAGAATGCTGGACTTAGAGTCAAGTTATATTACCTATAACCACGGGTAATTCACTCAGCCACTCACATTTTATAGATAAGAAAACTGAGTGTCAGAGTATCGTACTAAGCTCCCTTCCAGCTCTAATTCTAGGATCCTGTGATTCTCCAAACAGCCAGGGCAAAGATACCAACATCTTCAAATGCCAAGGAAGCAGGTGTGCGTTGGAGTCAAGGTCTCTTCCGAGCAAATTCTGCCCCTCGCTGCCTCACTCTCTCCCTGACCAAGTACCAGGCTTTACATCCATCCTCAGCAGCGTGGAGAATTTTAGAAAGATCAGAGGGATCTCCGGCTGCCCCAATCCTTTTGTTTCCCTTGGGAGGTTTCCGCAACTAGGGGGTGCCTTTAGTCAAAAGCCCAGCCCGCTTAGTTTTGTTATCCAGACTCATGCCCAGTGCCCAAAAGGAGAAAGGAAAACTTACCCTCATTGTCTTCTGCAGTATGTACATAAAAGCCCGTGATCAGGCAGCAAAAAAACTCCGAGTGGTGACCGGGGGACAAAGAGGGAGCTTTAGGCTGTCAGCCCTGGGTCCCCCAGCTCTAGCTGACCAGAATCATTCCCTCATTCCATCCCAACCCGGGCTCCTTCTTGTTTGCCGTGGTGGTGTTTCTCCTGCCTCTCTGCCTGCCTGCCTGCCTCCCTGCCTGCCTGCCTTCTCTGCTTCCCGCCAGCTTGGCTCTGAAGCGCCCCAGGCTCTTTGGTCTAGAGAAGAGAGAGCCCGAAGCTGACGTCACGCCCTGGCCAGGCCTGTGGTTGGCTGAGGGGCGGGCTGCCTGATTCAAAAGCAGCCCTAGCAGAGCTCCGTGGGGTCCGTGGGCTGCAGGCACATGCCTCCGCTTGGTGGGTATGCTACTGCTACTCTGCCGCTGCTGACAATGATGCTGGGGGAGCCCAGATTTTCTCTCCCCTTTTTGGCAACTGAAACCTGTGCATCAGGTTAGGCAGCTCCTATGAGCCTTCCCCGCCCCCCCCCCCCCCCGCCCGTGGCAGCCTGGAAGAATAAAAGGCATTTCCACATTCCTTATATGGCTCAAGAATAATCTTCAGGAAACGTGAGAGGAGAGAGACCTTTCTCTGCTTTGATCTGGGTCTATTTATGGTAAGAAAAAGCCCAGGACTTTCAATCCTGGGGCAAGATGGATTCCCCACAACCGTCCCTAGCAACCTCTAGCCTATAAGGTTGCCTTGACCAAATTTCCAGCGCAATTTCCATTTCACCTCTTGTTTCCTTCAGATCTTTTGGCCCAGATGGCATTTCTGACTGAGAGAGGAGTCCAGTCAGCACCACCATCACCCCCAAATTCTCTATTGCAGGCTCTCTCTGCAAAGGATGGAGTTCTTATCCTTTCTTCCTGCATCTCTTCACTTTTAGGGTGTTCTCTAGTAGGAATACTCACCCTTCCTTCTGCCAGCATCTCAGAGTGCCATCCTTCTCTGAATTAAGTCCAAATGCACCCACAGCTTGGCTCAAGACCCACCTCCTCCCC